AAAGGCAAAAACGGGGATGGTGGAGAGAGAGAGGGTTGAAGCGGCTCGGAGTTCCCGGGCATGATCTGGATAACGAGAGCTTACCAAGCAGCGCGTGCTGGTGCCACTATGGATATTTTCACATGGAAAGTTATTGAAATACTAGTGACGTGTACCGTGCGAAGAAAGTTTCGCCGTTGGTGTGACTGGTGAAATTAATTGAATCGCTCGCTCGCTCGCTTGTGAGCGCGTTCGTTCCGCGTCGTGGAATGCGTCGGCTAAACTTTTTAATGAATGTCAACTGCTAACGATACATTCGGATAAATGATCCTGTTTTCTGGCACGTAATTTGCCGGACCGCCGGGCCGTGCGATCGCCACGCCGGGAATGTTGATCGCGACGATTTCGCCTATTGTAAAAGTTTGGAGCAGACTGAAGCGGCATATTAGGCGCGTCCTCTCTATCCGACATTCTATCGGATATCGGTCACTTCGTAAAACGAATCGAAGTACAATTTCCGGACGTCCCCACCGCCTGTAATGTCCGCGGAATTTTCTGGCCCTCGTAAATTCTCCAAGTTTCGTGCCCACGCGAAACTTTCGTCTATCTCTCCCGTTTGTTTGTCCGCCATTCGCATTTCTTACAGCGATGTAGGAAATTTCACAAGGATTTTTCGACGGTTCTTGCTGAAATGGTGGAACATAGAGGCGAACTTTTCGAAATTGTTTTTAACGCGTTGTAACTGGAACTCCGAGGGATTATTCCGAGATACGCGGCTAATGGCAAAGTTTTCATGAAGTAGAGGACCTATATATTTCTTTCGATGCGGAATATCGGTCGCGCCAGCCAAGACGAGCGCGCCCGTTCTACGCGTGTGCGAATCGAAGAGTAATTTCCGCCCCGTTCAGGCGGTATCAAGCGGGCAGCTGTAAATTTCTGCGAGCTTTTAAGGTGTCGTATTCTACGGACAGATCGAGATTTCGATGGTAAAATTTTAAGAGCGCGTACTTACAAGCTATTTTATTCGGCTCATCGTGGGTTTTTTTTTTTAATAGACATGTTAATCGATATTGCTGCAATGGATTTCAAGCTAACATTTCGAAGAAAGTAATTGAATTATTGAGAACGACAAAACATAACGGAAATTGGACACTGAGTTATTCTACCGTATATAATTCATTAACAAGTTGTATACTCACGATATTAAAACATAAAAACGCAGCGATATGAGTACAGCGCGATAATTGATGCGAATAAAATAATAAACAATTTAATTAATTACAAATAAAAATAAACATAAAAATAAGAAGTAAAATGTCTATACGAGTCACCGTGATTGTTGAAATTATTACAAACTGAGTTTGTACTTCTACATTGCCAATATTAGAGAAGACTCAATCCAGAATTAAAACGTTTGCAACTAATTTTGTTGTTACAATTTAACATTTAAATACATTCTGTCTATAATTATTTATAAATTATATCTTGTCGTCTTACAAATACATTATTTATGCATTAACAACTGCGGAAACTCATATAGATATTTTTTACTTGTACTTATTGGATTTATTTTAAAAACTATAAAACCTTTAATTTTTATTTTTATAAATTTTTTTTTATTTCTCGATTCATGCAACTCGTACGCTTAATGCAGATTTAGTGAAAATATCAGAACGTAAGAATTAAAATTTAAAACGAAAGGTCAAATAGCCATAATTGGAATTTAATAAATTAAATTGATTGAAGTCTGGCATTATTAAAAGACAAAACATTATTATTCTACGTAAATATACTAAATTTGAATTTTTATTATACTTTTTATTTTAAATTCTGCTAAATAAATAAATTGTCAAATAAAAAATATAAAGTTCTCTAGAAAAAATATTATAATCTGAAAATAACGTTATTTAAAATGTTATTTAAAATAATAAGTAAACTATTCTTCTTTCTTATTATTGTGTACAAATTAATCTCTCTATATGCTCAATGAGATATGAACTACTAGTCACAGTTTTTAAATAATAACAATATTTTTCTATATCATGTACAATATATTTTTAATAGAGAGCAGCAGAAGTTAATAAATTTTTACTGACAGGTTTTGTTTAATTCCATTAACAAAAAAATTCATTGAATAATGGGATCTCTTCACGTTGAAATATATCCGAAGAGTTGAGATTGTATAATTTAAATAAAAATATACTGTTACACTTTTATAACGTTTTGAAAATCGCTTGTTATACATGACACAATATATATCCGGATTATTTTCGCTCTATTTCGCAATTCATATATTCCACTAAACGAGATGTATAATAGGAATATCCACGAAAATATCCGATGAAAATTTGATCCTCGCGTGATGTTGTCGCGTCGCGAAAAACAATTCGTAATAACGAGCATAATTCAATGTCTCCCGCATGCACTTCATTAATAAATTGTTCAAGCCGGGTTATTGAAGCATTCGCGAACTCCGTTCGTCGCGAGCACCTTCGTTCGTCGCGGATGACGAAGAGCCTTATTATGCGGAACCAGTACCTCGTATTCGCGCCCTGTTAACGCGGGCGCTTGCGTATATACAATATATATACAATATACATTTATATGTATACGCGCGCGAACTTTGCGACCGCATAATTGCTAAGAGTTTGATAGAGTGGCAAGTTTCGAATGCGGCCGAAAGCTGGGAAGGGACAGCTGCGAGCAAAGACTAAACTGATATTCTCTGATTACGGCGAATACACGAGGCAGATACATGAGGCTGAAAACCTATTAGAATGATAAGAATTAAGAATCATTAAGCGTTAGTCATAAGAATGAGGGAAGAAATAACTGCTAAGGTAAGAAAATATGGCAGAATACACGGAAAAAACAGTTTTGCCGTATTTAAAAATGTATTTAAAAAGCTAGATACAAATCTAAAAAAATTATTTTGTTGGACTATTAAAATAATTATGTAGGACGCTCAAGCATAATGAATAATACTACAAAAAATTTTTATATTTATGTATTTCAACAACGGACCGACTGTTGCAATTAATACATATACAGAAAAGAACGCTTTTATAGAAATATTAAAAAATTTAGCTAAATGCAGTAGATCTAAAAATAATTTTGTTGAACTATTAAAATAATTATATGGGACACTTAAACATGATGAGTAATATAATAAAATTCGAAAAATATCATTCTACTGCTAAGAAAAGTGATTAGTTCTTTTTAATGGTTATCTTTAACAAAGCATATTTTTTTTAATAGTCTTAAATTGTCGTAAAATACATTTATTACAAATTAAAAAAAATTTTTTTTAAGAATATTGTAAAATTGTATTGAAGATTCGACTTTATATCTATAAGTTAATCAAATTTGATTTTATTCAATAATGTTGATAGAAGTATTAAACTTATCAAGTTCAGAATATATATTGTGAATATATTTTGAATGAATTTAATGCTTATAATAAACTTATAATGGATTTACAGAATATACGAACTATTGAAATAGTTGAACTATTGAAACGAGTAATTATTGTTTGAACACAGTATATTTTCTGTGTGTCAGCTTGAATATCTTACATAATTATTTTGGTTTAACAAAATTATTTAGATCTGTATCTAACTTTTCGGATACTTTAGCAAAGTTCTTTCCATGTAGATCTTTGGCGCAAGATCATTTATCATTTCCTTTTACAAATTCGATTTCTAGTTTGGATCGTGAACAGCAGAACTACACGCGCATTTCGATGTATACAAAACTTTTCCGATTCACTATCAGTCCTGAATAGTTTTAACGATCATGTACGTGAACGGCTCGGGTTTACGAGCTGACTATGTGATTAGTTAACATCAACAGCTCTTCTGAGCGGGAATAGCGATGGCTAATAAAATAATTTCGCACGTTACAAAGCAAGGTCCGATAACAGCCGGTACGCTTTGGGAATTCATTTCGGAGCGGAAATTGCAACTTGCGGATTGGCCAGGTCGATTCGGAATTCTGGCGCCTCGAAACGACACGATACTTAATCGTCGCACGACAGAATTATATTAATTCCACGAAGAGCGAATGAGAATTTAGCCAGACAAGCACATTTTTATTACTTGGTAATTGAAATTACCTTAAATCTTTTGATGCTAATTTGGAACAGTTCGCCGGTATGAAAAGGCATGGAAATCTTCCGTCGTTACGAATTGCTTTCTAGCAATGTAATTAAAATCTATGTAGATTCGTTAATCAACGCAGATTTAATGTATATAATGATATATGTACACAGAAAGAATCATTTTGCTGAAGTACCTAAAAAAGACTCCATATTAATTATATGAAAAATTGAGTCTTGATGAGATGAATTAGTTTTCACATACCTATAATCTAGCTTATAATGTGACGAACAAAAGATGTCGCAGACATAAGGCTCAATAATGGATAGTTTTTGAGCTATGAAGTAGTATCTGTGAACACAAGCTTTGCAAATTGTTCATTATTGAGCCTTATGTTTATGTAATCTTTTGTTTATCACATATTTATAAATTACATTATATGTGAAAACTAATTTGTTTCACCGGGACTCAGTTTTACATATAATTAGTGTAAAGTCCTTTAGCTAGATATACATCTGAAAACTTTGTTAGAATCATCAAAATAATTATGTAGAACGCTCAAGCTGGTTGTTAGAATGTTAAAACTTTTTGCTCATTATGCTTGAGTTTCCTACAAAATTATTTTGATAGTCTAGCAAAATTATTTTCACATCTGTATTTATCTAAATTTTTAGATATTCAGCAAAGTTCTTTCTATATATATGTATATTAATTAATTTCAATGGTTGGCCAATTCATTGTTTAAAGAAATGACAAAACTGTTCGTTTTAAATATACGAAAAGTAAAATTTTTAATTAAACCACTTCAGTTGATAAAGAAATGACGAGCGGAACCTCTACTGAAAATATATGACGTGTCGTTGTCTCATGTCGCTCGTAAAATACATCGATGACGATGAAGTCGACGTAGGAGCAAAGACTCACCATTTAGGACATGAACCCTGATGGACGCCGTATTGGCGTTACTGGGCTTGCAGCTGTACTCCCCGGAGTCCGAGGGCTGCGCCGTTTGAATGAGAAGCCAGGAGGTGGTGACGTCGCCACCCTTCTCGGTTATCACGGAGACGCCGCCCCTGGGACTGTCGTAGCTCAGGACGTTCTCATTGTAGTACCAGAAGATGTAGGCTGGTGGCTCCGAGCTGAAGCGTATGGCACACGTCAGGTTTATCGTGCTGCCTGCACCGACGTACAACTCGGGACCGCCCAGTATCGTCGCTGTAGGTACTGCGATAAAGAAGATTTTCTTTCGTCTTCCTTACCCCTTTCCTTCCATTTCCCCTCGTTCTTCCCGTGCCTCTATGTTACCCGATCCCATTCCCTCTTGATCATCCATCTCAACTTGGATAAACTCAAAGATCCATACATGATTTCCTTTTGGAAATGGTATATTTAACGAACGAGAAGAACGAGGTATCTTTAAAGCCATCCCGTGAGAAATAATGAGATGTGAAATTTCATAATAAATATCATGTAAGTCAGGGTAATTGAAATAATGAAGGTAACACTGTCGACTTTGCCTTTTCTAGCGTTAGATTTAGCCCCGAGATTATCGTTAAAGTGAATTTTCATCAAGCGTAACCTTTCTTCGTTAAATTTACTAATTCATAACTTCCGGATATTTTAATGAATAAAAGCTGGAGTTATAATATATAATTTACACATTCTGGTATATCGGTCAGTATTCGGTCACAAATATTGTTTATTTTTTTATGTTTATTCTGTCAATTTACTCTTTTTCTCTATCCTTTTATTAATCATAATTCAATCTCATTGCGAGCATAGAAATGGATTTTTTTTAAGTTAAAAGCGAGCATGCCGCTTCGTTATTACGCGGACCAATATTATGGACTGAGGCTGAAATGCACACCAGAAGTGTTTTTGGGAATTTCATCGATTTCATGATAGAACGCACGCAATACGATAAGTGAGATTAGATTTAACGATACATATATGAAACTTACCAACGACGTTCAAGTGAAACTGATACGATTTGATAGGTATGGTGGAAATCTGACATTCGTAGATTCCCTGGTCACGCTCCTGTGCCCACTTTATGCAGAGGGTCCAGTCGGACCATTCGTTGCCGTGGCCCGTATTTTGTCTGTGTAGTGCTTGAAATCGTTGGTCACTTGTGTACGTGTACGCTCCCGCCGTCAGGATGTGGATGTCCCTGTGCCTGACCCAGGATACCTTCGCAAACAAAGTTGGCAATAATGGTGATAAATGATAAATCGATAGTCGATATACGGAGTGTCCGAGCTGTCTTTTATTGACTACACTACATTTCATTTAAACAATTGAGTGATCTCAATATCGTGTGCTTCCTATATCTATAACACATGTAATTTTTATTGTTTTCTTTTACATGATAGATATTTTTAAATTTGTACTTAATAATCTGTAATGAAAGATTTTTTTCAGTATATTTAAAGATAAATATTGTAGAGCTTTTAAGGTATTATTTATTTCTCTATAAGTCTCTTATTGAATTGGTTTAAGAAAAATCTTTTTTATTGTCTTCTTTTAAAAGAAAGATATTTTTTTATTTATACTTAGTTATTATGTGAGATTTTTTTTCAGTATATTTAAAGAGCTTTTAAAATATTATTTATGCTCTTAACACGAAACATTATTATATCTCCTGATGTTTGTCTAAGTCTTTGAATTGGCTTGAGAACTAAAAACCTTCTGTGTATTGTGTATGTAAATTATATTTTGCATCTTTTACTTATTTTTACACGAAAAATTATATTTCTAGTTGTACCATGATCTCCAATAAATTGAAAAACATTCTAATCTTAAAAAACTTAATGATAGCAACTATATAGAATCCGCTATTTAAGTTTTACATTATATAGAATTAATGTATGTACATAGTTCAATAAATTATATTTTATTAGTTCGAATAACTATGAAATAATTTTCAATTATGTACATTAATTCTATATAATATAAAATTTGTATGGTTGTCATCTATATAGTTGCTATTCAGATATGTATTCTTCTCTGAATAAAAAGAATAAAATTACAAATTTCCATATTCCTTTTACAAAGTAGAGATAATAAAAAAGTTATTCTTTATATTTCCATTTATTCAAATTAAATAATTTTTATATTATCTTTCAAATGACGAATTAACTGTATATACAGAAACAATTTTTATATAGATAGGACTTCATTTTTGCAGCACGAATTTAATGCGTTATTTTAAAATTCTTTCCGGCAAGTAATTTAACTTTCGGAAAAATACGCTCATTGGAAGCTCATCTCGATAACTCTGATAACCATTCGTGTCGAATTTTTTGCATCATGAAGTGCTTCGTACAGTACGCCTGACCAACTTTACCGCGATCCTGGAACGGAAGGAGTGAACGAGAGGATCCGTCTATTTCCTTGCCCGCGGAACGCGGAAAGCCACCGACCCGTGTCGAAACGTAAGAAAAGTTGCAGAGGAATACAGAAAGTTTCCCGGTGAGAGTTTCGGGCGCTTCCTCCGTTGCCAGCGCACGCAAAGCAGATTCCCAGGCACCAGTGCCTCTCGTTCACGCGGTGCTGGCGTCAGAGTGTGAGACTTCGAGAGTCTTCGGCGATTTTCTAGGAAAGACTTCGAACGGGAAGTAAAAGGATTCTGCGGAACGCGGAGCGATCCAGGCGTCTTCTTACATTCAAGATCCTCTCGGAAATTCTTCAGAAATAATATTATCTTAGAGGATCTTTCTGACATTTCAGTCCTGTGCATTTTTTCTCGTGCAACTAACTTTTTTACCTTAAAGGCAGAATTAACGAGTCATCTCTCGCGCGCGATATTATTAAACTTTGAATTGAATTAATTCTAAGCGAATTACGCTACGTATTGCAAATGCTCTAAATATAAAATTATGAAGTGATACAAATTTGCATAATGATCAGTTTGTGCATTTAAAATATTATTTCTTATATAATTTAGATTAATCGCGTTGCATTGCTGAATTTTTAATTGTAAGAGAACACCGAGTGTCTTAGAAAATTGTAATTATCATTTTGAATAAGTACAATAAAAGGACCGGCTTAATCATCCGTTCTTTCGTGGAATACATCGCGATAAGTGAATGGGGACAAGAAATTAAATTTTACTCGTGAAGAAAGTTCGGTCACTTAAAAGTTAAATCGTAAGAAAAGACACTCTCGTCGAAGCTCACCGTCTGTTTTAATATTCCCGAGGACTATTGCGCAGAGACTCGTCGAGCTTTCAACGAAGCGTATGCATTTCTGTTCCAACAAAGCGAGTACTTTTATTTTTCTATAGTTTTCAGATATGAAGTATGTAGAGAATCATAAAAAATCTGCATGCGAAAAGAAATGGTGTTATTATATAGCAATAGATTATATATGATAAAAAATAAATTGTATTTCTCCCGCTCCCCCTCTCTTTCTCATTCAAAGAAATTACAACATTGATATTTTTCTCTCAATGATCTTTATATTATTAAGTTTAATTATCTGAAAATTATACTTGTTATATTATTAACTGTATTAATATGTGATTAATTAATTAAACTTGGATATAACACTGAGAAAAATGGTATGATTGAATTAAATAGTAATTCTGATGGAAAACGGACGAATCAGAATTTTTTTATTAAATCTATTAGAATTCTACTTGAGATAACTAGAATTCTAATTGATAATTATTTTGGTAAAAATAAGAATTCTAGTAGATTTTACCAAAAATTTTACCAAAAATTATATCAATCAGAATTCCGATTTTCTCAACAGAATTATAATAAATTTAAACAAAAAATTCTTATTTGTCCATTTTCAATCAGAAATTTTTTTTCAGGCATATATTTATTCTTTGATACTCAATTTTATACAAATATGTGCACTAACAAATTTTCGTAATTTTAAAAATCCCAAACGAGTCAAATTTTTAGGTGGAATGCACCATATGTGTGTGTATGTATGTGTATATAAATACACAAAGTTTTAATGAAACGTCATAGTTCTCTCTCTTTCTCTCTTTCTCTTTTTGAAAAGTTAAATGACATTTTTCGCTCAATAATTTCCATATTATTAAGTATTCTCGCTCTCACTAAAAAAAGATTAAGATTATAATTGATATTTTCATGTTATTAAATTTAATCAGCTGAAAATTATGCTTGTTATACATTTTATTACTAAATGCATTAATGTTTACCGAAGTAATTAGAGTTTAATTAGAGAAATATATGTATATATATATATATATATATATATATATATAAAATACATGTTTTAATGAAACGTCATAGTTCTCTTTCTCTCTCTCTTTTTCTCTCTGAAATGTAATTGACATTTTTCGTCCAATAATTTCCATATTATTAAGTTTGATCGGTTGAAAATTATGCTTGTTATTTATTTTATTATTAAATGCATTAATATATGCCGAATTAATTAGAATTTAATTAGAGAAATGTACATAAACGCACGTGCTTTCTGTGTACCTTGAACTTGTATCTTTTACACATTTTCGATCATATATTGCTCATATGCATCGCTAAATCATAATGCTTCTAAATCATAGTGCTAGAAAAATCATGCGTGCAAAACATTCGCGTTAAAATAATTTATCATGATCGCCTGTCAACCATCCATCCCGAAAGCAATCGCGAGGCAATGGAAGCAAAACCATAACATTGGAATTCGCGGTAACAGTAAGTTCGACGCATATTAACGTCGAGGTTTTCGTGCGCCGGGTTGCGCGTCCCCAATGCGGGAAATTTCAACCCTCTGCCTTTTCCCCTACCGAAGGGGTTGGTCTTTAGGAGTGTGGGCGGCTTGGCTCGTCGATATTTTCACAGAGCTCCGACCTCGTATATAAACCGGGCGAGGTCAGGAGTGTGTCGGTTCGACACACTATTCCCCATTGCGCACGTATATACGCGTCGTGCAAATGCCGTTTACATATGTGCCCGACGTTGGCACCACTTAGCGTATTTACTCAACGAAGTTTACGTCTTTCGCGGTGTCTGGCTAGCGGTAGCTATTGCATGGGAACAAAAGCAGTTTAGCGCTTCCCAACTTATCCATCGGGACAAATGGGGCGACTCGTGGACGCGCCGGCGCGAGGAACGGGAGAGGAAACACTGCATCCGCGCGAAAACTGCAAGAAGACGTCGGCAATGATGAATGTCGAACGTTAAGTGAAACCAAAGCGAGCGTAACGTGTGGCAAATGGTTTCTCATATTGCTTGTAAGGTGAGCTAGCCGGATGCATGCCTTTACTTACTACTGAAAGCACAAGAAGTTTACGATCGTCTTCCACCCCTTTCTCTGCTAATAACTTTAAATTATTATAGTATATTTTTTTAATTCAAAAGATAATCCTAGCTTAAAACACAATTAAAATTTTTTTGAGTCCCATTTCTATTGATAAACTATATGGAGTTCTGGTAATTATGCCATGCGGGAATATACACTACAGAACTTCTGCAGCAGAAGTCAGAAAAAATAGAAGTAATTTACAACTACTCTATTAGCCTTTATACAATATTATATTAATACTGCATTATGATTTCAGTATTTTGCTGTTAAGTCCATTCCTATGGGATATACGACAAAAATGCAAGAGTTTATTCTTTTCTTTTGTATTTTTTTCTATTTTCATAATCATTTCTTTTTCATGAACACTTTTGTGCTGATTGTTGAGCGTGCGGTTATCTATGTTGTTAGTTGATGCTTTTTGCTGATTCGTCTCACAGAATTCAATGGTTTTGTAGCTTTATTTGTGAATATCTTTCTTTTTGTCAAGTATATACTAACTGCTATCTCGTTCGATATCGATACAACAATTGTTAACACACGCGCGTTGAAAGATATTTCGTGACGCACGTCGCGAAATATATTTCCAGTCTAAATACGATGGCACAAAAAACGTGTCTTCGCAAATCTTATTTAGAATTTTACAATATTCTTCGATGTTATTTGAAATCTCATTCAAGTAAAAACAAATCTTTATTTACAATCTTTCCACTAATATTGAAAATAATCGTGGATTTATTATTATAATATATTGAAATTTAATTGTAAAATTAAGTTGCAAAATATTTGCTTTTATAAATATAAAACATAGGCATTTTAACTTAAATAAAATGATCAAAGATTAAACGTGTATGCTGTGAGCGTTTTTTATTTGTGGTTTTCTGTATGAAATTGTAATTCGCGAAATTGTTGATAAAGAAACGCACCACGAATTCTTGTGTTAATGATGGAAATATAAATAATTCCACTTTTTAAATTAAATTTTTATTGCTTTATTTTGTAGAATATGTATTTTCACTTCAGTAATTTCGCCTCTTTACCTTTTTTTTTAATATCCATATGAGCTGCATTGCGTGGAATTTTGCTGTTTTTCTCCTGATAATCCGATAGCGTTAGCGCGCTAATCAGACAGGCGTTTGTATCACGAAATACGATTAAAAGCTCTCTCTCTCCTTTTGATATCACGTTGCATCAAGTATGTATCGGAATTTAATCTATCAACATTGAATGAAGATAATTTCAGTATTGTGCGTTTCCTGAAACATTCGATTGTATGCATGCCTTCAGTTAAGTACCGAAAATGCAAAATACAATATACGTGCAATATTTGTAGAATATATGTATTAAATTTATTATATTTATAAAATATATTTCCTTTCGCAAAGCATTTTATATTATTAAAAAAATATGTTAGAAGACAGATTTGACAATTTTAATATTTTAAGGATTACTAAACTTTTTTGCAAATGCTACAAAGTTTTCATTAAAAGGAAAAAATATCCTAATTTCTTTTAAATCAATATAATAAGGTATATTATTTAATATCATAAAATAAGGTAATAAGATAGAATAATGTAATAAAGTATATTTTTGAATATTGTTTTTAACTAAAAATTATTTAATTAAAATATTTGTTTAAAATATTTCTTATATTAGGAATATATGATATATTTTTTAAATAAGGAAATAATGAAAAATATTTTTTTCATTAAAAATATTTTGAGAAAAAATAAAATATAATAAAAACTAGTATTTCTATTTTAAATTAAGAACTTTTATTAAATATTTAGAATATCATAGAAGTATTTAATACTTTTTTGGCAGACAACATTTTTGAAGCGACATTCATGCAATTATTGATTGATAAGTGATATAAATTCTTGTTTCCTTTTGTTGTTACAACATCCGATAGCAATTGATAGTTATTTGATATGACTTTACGAAACAAAATCTAGTGGTATTATGTCTAGTGACCTATATAAATGTTTATAAAATTGATCACGTCCTGACTATCTGTTTCCAAGTTTCGTATTTATTGTTTTACGTATAAATATAAATCTCGTCGAAAAGAAACATCAGCAATATATTCAGAAGAGAAATTATTTTTATTGCCATTTTAAATGATCGAAAAAAATCTCTTCGATACATGCAATTCCTATCCTGTATATTTTCATTTAATCATTTAATAATGCAGCAACAAAGTTCTTATTCTGATTATTTTTAGAGTGACGTTAGAAATGACGTTAGAATAATTAATTTTTCTTAGCTTTCTCATAGAATTAAACGTAACAAACATTTTCAAAATGTTTCAAAGAAAGAAAAATAATTCAAGAAATGTGAAGAACGGAATAATTTACACATATTTTTAAGCTGTAGAGTAAATTAGTAATACTTGCTCATATTTACTTTAGCAATACTTACTTATTGGCTTTGCAACAAGTAGCCTTTGGGAAAACTAAACTAACTCATAAATTGACTTTCGCGTTGCGATAGCTTAACCACTAGTGCGCGAATAATTAAATTGCTTTGTGAGAAAACAGAAATGCGGAAAAATTTTTCAGCGAAATCCTGATTCTATTAAACATAGTTATTACGTAACGCAATAAAACAATAAAGAAAATCAATTTTTTTCCTTTATACATGTTTATTGCGGCCGACGCTTTTGCAGACGTTGTACAATAGTGTTTCAATTAAGTCTTCTCTCCCTTTCTCTTGTTTTAATTGTTTTAATTATTCCATTACAATTAAATAGAATAAAATATTTTTTTAAATAAAATAATTTCTTAAAAATATATTATTGAAGTTCAAGATATTTTATATTCGTTTCATTCGTGCATCTTATGCTTAATTAATTAGTTCTCGATGAAAGTTTAATGAAGAGACACTTCTTTTTGTTGGCTTCTTAATCTTTAATCTTTATTCTCAATGATTATATCAGAAACTTTCTAAAATATTACTGAAGAAAATATAAAATAAAGTTTTGTTAACTGTTTCTACCACTGAAGTGTGAATAATTTAATTTAAGTTGAGGGAGCTTTAATATTTTCAATTACTTAGAGTTCGAGAACCATTAGCGACTCTTTTTATTAAAGAAAAGTTCCAATTGGAATGGTTCATTCTTCAATATGAAATCCATTTTAATTTTTTTGGGAGAGGTTTGCAAAATCTTGTGTAATGTTTTACTTTTGTCAAACATTTCTCTTCTTTTCTGTAATTTTTTATAATTTTCTATTATTTTTCATAAAACGTGGAATCGATTTTAAGTTACTGTTACTGTTACAAGGATCTCTATTGTCATCGTTAGAACAGAGTAACTAAATCCCTGGTTTATATGGAGGAAAATATGTTTAAATGAATACGAATCGACATGTGATATCCAAAGGACGCATTTATTTGAAATAAATAATGAAATTGAATATATGATATTTTAGAATATGTGATATTTTAGAAGAATCGTCGGTACATCTTTGAAAGATTACATTTGTAATGATGTGCGCAAATTCGATCAATTCGATCACCTCATAGTTCTGATCGTTCCTTTTAATAGAGATTAGTAATAATGATATTGTGTCTACGATAAAATTGAATTTCTAGTTACTTCTAAGGTCAATTAATGTTTAATCGACTCCGCGCAACTCGATTATTTCCTGCAAATCATTTCTTCTAAAATCCCTTTATGGAGATCGGTTTCCTGTCTATCCTTTGTGTGTGTGTGTGTGTGTGTGTGTGTGTGTGTGTGTGTGTGTGTGTGTGTGAGAGAGAGAGAGAAGAGAGTGTGTATTTGGCGATAGTTTAAAGCCTTCATAAGCTTAATTTAAATCTATAACACACTGAGAGAAAAATGTTTTGTATTTGTAACTATAATTATGATCATTATTGCTATAATAATAATAATAGTAATTATGTATATAGTTCTAGCAACAAATGTATATAGTTGGCAATCTAAAATGACTATAATTATAATTATTATAACCACAAAATAGTTGAAATTATCATAAAAATGATTCAAGTGACTATAATTTTATAGTTATATTTTGGGACAACCATATTTTTTATGGTTCCAAAATATAATTATAAAATTAGTCACTTGAATCATTTTTATGATAATTTCAACTATTTTGTGGTTATAATAATTATAATTATAGTCATTTTAGATTGCCTACTATATACATACTTACTGTTATTATTATTATAGCAGTAATAATCATAATTATAGTAATATGTAATTATAGTTACAAATACCAAACATTTTTCTCTCAGTACAAGAATGATAACTGTTTCAAGAACGTGGCATAATTAAAATTTGTTTAATAATTCCTAATTGTAAAATGAAAAATAATTCCACTTATAAATTGAAGATTCTTGTCTATTCTGTATAACAACTGCAAGAAATATTCCAAGCAGGGTGAACGCTCCTATTATGTAGACGATATCTTTGTTTCGTAATTTATAATTCACAAGGCAATGTAATGAAGGTTCTTACGGTCTTGTCGCCTAGATTGCGAACTCGGCACGTGAGGTATGCAGTTTTTCCAATCAGGGCCGTCACGTTGCTATTCTGTGTGAAGTCGAAGGTGGGTTCCGGTTTCGACTTCGGGCCGGAAGAATGATCCAGCATTTGTTGCCGAGGTCTGGTCTGGATCGCGTGTCTATCCATGTTATCTATCGTCCGATCTCCTAGACTCAGTGTATCTGTAACACGAAAAAAATTTGCTGATTGAGTATTCAGAAGTTGTACGCTGAATGATTAATGTTATTCGACAAATCGCGACAAAGGGAAAATATAAATTTTATTTCTATTGTTACACGTTTACGTACTGTATGTTTGATGAATTCCATTGAACTATATTGCATCGAGACATAGATTTTATTTTAGCATTTTATTTTTTTTAATTAGTAAAAAGTTTATTTGATGGACATTTCTGATTATTTCTGAGAAGTTTAATTCGTACTAGTACACGAACTATGTTAATTTCTGTACCAGTTAATTTCCGGTTGACAAATTAGCCTTTAACCAAATTCCGTAGCCAAACAAGCGATTAGTGAAATTTCCGGTTAATTGAAATCTGTAATGGCAGCCATTAAATGCACGAGGAGCAACAAAGCTCTAAAATACTCGACAAAACATTTACTACTTTTTGAAAAATACAGTACCGTGGATAGCATATATTTTTCAAGTTAAGCATTAAAAATCTAATAAAAATGAAATAAAAAACCGATCTTTTATCGATTTCAGTTATTTCAATATTCACAGAAATCAAATATAAAAGGGGACACAGTTTAATATGCGAGCAACGATCGAACTGTCCCTTGAAATAGAAAGCGATTGGTATTTCATTCAACAATTCGAAACTTTTAATGTCATCCATTCGCTATTGTTACAATCGTTACTATCGTATGAATAAAAGCGAAAACGTTCACGCTTATATTTCTGAAATTATAAAATATAATGGAATATAAGTATTGCAGAGATGTTTGAAATTATAATTATCAAGTTATTTACAATAGTTGTGTAAATAACATCGCTTTTAAATAATATTAATTTTTAATATTTGAAAAAGTAACATTCATTTGTATATTTATGCTAAAATATTTACAATAATATACAAAAAAAATTCAAAAGTAAATTTACTATAGTAGTTGTGTAGTGTAGATTTTAAATAATATTAATATTTTTAATATTTAAAAATATTAATTTAATATTTAAATAGTATTAATTTTTAATATTTAACAAAGTTTATGACGTTTATTATAAGTTTATGCTACAATATTTAAAATAATATGTGAGAAGAGTTCAAAAAATAAATTATATTTTTAAGCAAATCAAGAATAAGGTTTAAAAAATTAAGAGTAAGATTACAGCGAAAAAAACGTGTTCGAGATATATGTTAAACTTTTGAAGAATCTATGTGCAAATGAAGATTATGATTTTTATTTAATTATAATTTAATTGATAAAATGTAGTTAATTGCTGAGAAAATTTAATGGGCTCTCACTCGAGAGCTGTGACGTCAGTGTAGCTGTGCTCAGATGCTGCAAAATGGTCCGTACCACCCGTGCACTTTGTGCACTGCAAGTTGTTGAGTTAGAAATGCACTCAGGAACGGTCGATATATGTCTCAAAGTAGTAGAAGTGTTTGCTTAGTGTTTGAAACTAACTCCACTGCATATTCCGGATTTAATAGCGGAAGATATATCCATCACTAACATATGAACTCCATGTTTAGACTATTTAACTCTTTTCTTATCTTGATTTTATTTTAACAATATTAATCCGATGTTACTTTTAAAATTAAGATAAAATAAATATCTTCAAAATTTTTCAAATTTTATTCTGTCAATTTTAATATTTTTAATATTCTGTTATCAAATACTGAATATCATTCAAAATGACTCCCCAGCGACCGAGATTCAAAATAGTCGAGGACGATGACGCCAAAGCACACGATCGACTGCGTCTTTTCAATGCACGGATAGAAGGGGGCGAGTAATTTTAACAAGCAAGTGCATACAAAGTATCTATAGTTGAGTAATCAGAGAACTGTAATAGCTACGGGATGTATCTATAGCCGGAGGGAGATTGGATGGAATTAGATTAGATCAGAGCTTATTACGCTTCAGCTTAAGAGTGAATTAGGTAGAGAATGGCTTGTACGAGTAAGGGACTCTACTTTCGGTTAAGATAAATCTTTCTTCATTGTTTTTCTTATAATACATCACGTTGATGATAATGGAGACTGCCATCTTGAAGACAATGGCGATGAGCCGCAATGTATTGTAGAAGTATCTTGTCTCTCGGGACACTGAGTAGTTGAACGAACTTTAAGACACCAATATAGCTCTTCAGCTTTGGCATCTTCGCAAGATCTGATTCGTATTAAAAGTAGAATGTTCCTTCTATAACTATCTCGAGTGAGTGTACTCTTCTCTAAAAATTAGAATAATCAATCTTCAGTTTTTATACATTCAAATAAATATTATTCTGAATTGCCTTATAACATGTCATAAAAAATTTTTATTATGTAAAAATTCTATTATATAATTTTTTTTATGGCTTATTTGCATTTTCGAATTTTTACCGAAGATTTAAACATTTTAATTATTTAATGAGTTCATTTATGTAAGTCAAAAAGAAAATTATATAATTAAGAAAATTAAGGAAATTATAAAATAATAGACACTTTGTCATTGTCTAATTTAATATATATGATCGATAAAATACAATCGTATTTATGCGTTTTCTGGAGGAAATAGATCACTGCACTCTTCATTTTAATTTTAACAACGAAATCGTTGAAGCTTTGTTTCTCGTAGGATAGTAAAGGGAGGAGAGTCAAGTTGTTAGTTTGATGTCAACGCATCCGAATGGAAACGGTAGATTGTAACCCCTCTAATTAACGAGGACATATCGCAGCGAGCGAGCAAAAGCTGATAGTCTACGTGGAAAACTTTGCACTTCATTAGCTTTCCACCGAGATACGCCTCAGGTGCGGCAGTCTCATGCTCCAACAATGTGATATCCGTGCAACGAAGTGTGCGTGTGTGCATGTATGTGTGGAGATACTCTCTCGAATCTCGATATACGAAGACAGCCGTGATGATATATAAGGGGCGAGTTCTAGGAAAGCCAAAGAGAAGGACTCCCTGGAGTGCATGGAAAAGCTCGTTATAAGCTCTTCGGTCTTAGTTGCCGCTACGAAATTAATTAAAGCAAGTGCTCGCTCAGGCGGGCGCGAGATATCAAGAAATGTCCTTTTGTTGGTTGCATAGAGAATTCGCGTGCGGGGCATCATTCGCGAAAGATAATGAGTGACGGGTGGATGTATTCTTACGAATGCCGAAGTGCACTTAAGACTAGGAAGGTGATAGAGAGAGAGAGAGAGAGAGAGTGGAAAGATTATTAAGATAAAGATTAAGTTTCCTGTACACCATAACTTGGCCAAGACGTTGTTCGGTGTTCGTTATATCTTGCTTGTCGTCATTGTGCCATAGGTATATAGTACACGATATAGTACAACGCTATAATACACGTAGCTTGCGTGTTTCTCGTGAAGTATATATCATGTTAGACTGTATAAGATTGCATTGTATAGGACTGTTATTCAGATTTTATTAATTTATATACTCCGCGTTACATCTATGTACGATAATTATAATAATAGAATAGTTCTTTCTCGTAATTTTTACGAGAAATGTAATGAATTTTCGTATTTTTTACGAAAATGTAATGAATTTATTACAAAAATAAATAATATTAATTTTAGACAAAAAATTTTCAATAGAGATATTCTTATCGCGCAACGAAAAAACGATTTTGTTAAAATATCTAAAAATTTTGCTAGATTCACATCTGAAATTAATTTTGTTGAACCTTTAAAATAATTATGTAGAAAACTCAAGCATGATAAGCTGTAAAAAATTAACATTCTAATAACCAGCTTGAGCTGCATAATTATTTTGATAATTCCATAAAATTTTTTTCAGATCCGCATTTAGTTAAATTTTTAGATACTTCAGCAAAAGTGTTCTTTCTGTGCATCAACTGTTAGTCTATTTGATGAAAATGGTATATTCCTCCTTATGAGAAAAAAATGGAAGTGACAAAGATTACGTGAGAAAAAAACACATCTGGGAGCGAGATTGTTCGCGGATAGATTTGAAGTATAACCCAGATAATTTTCATCGATTTATACACGACTAGCTATTCAGCAAATTACGAACCATTCGTTTTCAGGGGAGTTGAGAAAAAGCTGGATTTGCCGGCGGGGTCATGTCGGCGCTTCCTTCCTTTTTTCAGAGCGACTCCCAGTAATTGCACCTTCTGTCACTAGCGGCGTCATTTGACATGGGTGGTTACTCTTGTTATTACGGTCATGCCCGAGGTCATAGATTCACGACAGGTGCAATAGAATAACTCTGCACATCTCGGTCAAAGATATTATAAGAAAGAAAAGAACAGAATGACGTTTTTAAAATCAAAGATAATTTTCAAAAATCTGGTATTTTTATATTAATCATTTAAGCATGTTATGCTATTTTAATATTAATTTGCGAATGAAAAAAGAATCCACGATAATGATTCATAGATTGAAAAGAGAAAGTTATTAATTTTATATTCATTAATTTTTTTCTCAAAGACTGAAATTTTAAAAACAATATGTATTAATTACTTACACATATCTTCGTTTATATAACTTTAAATAAATTTGTTATCTCATGAAAAAAACTCTATGATATAAGAATAAATCAATCATGGAGATAGATCAATCATGGAAAAATATCGATCAAAAACAATAAATACAGATAGATTTCCAACAAAAATTCTCACTGAGACGATAAGAACATTAATTTTAGGCAGTTTTTCTATGAAACTTGGACTCGCAAAGGACTGACAAATGTGGTTACGGTCTCAACTTAAACTTCTCGTAATTCTTTTAGTAAATGGTATGACATGTCGTGAAATAAATTTAAAAAATCCAGATAATAATTTTCTTTTATGAGCTCTTCAGTTGCTTCAGTGCCAATTTAGGTATCGTGTGTAATTTAGCGTGTTATTGCTACAAGCCCTTCGTTCACGCCCAGCGGTGGCGGATGTCGGAATTCATTACGCTGGAAAATGGTTTGCGAAGCGGCCGCGAAAAAGAATGGCATAGAGTTATCGATACGAAAGTACCGATAGATATATTGTAACA